CAGCAGGTTGAAGGGCTTGTTTGAGCAGCGCTGGTTGAGTCAGAGCGGGACAAAAGCAGTGAAAGCAGACAGCCGGGCCGTGTCAACATCAGGTTAATGCTTTCTTGGGAGAAGGACACCAAATTAAAGCGGCGCACTGCAAAAATGATGAGCTTGCGGTTGAAAAAAAAAAAAAAAAAAAGGGGGGGGGGCAGCGGCTGCTCAAACAGCAGGTTGAAGGGCTTGTTTGAGCAGCGCTGGTTGAGTCAGAGCGGGACAAAAGCAGTGAAAGCAGACAGCCGGGCCGTGTCAACATCAGGTTAATGCTTTCTTGGGAGAAGGACACCAAATTAAAGCGGCGCACTGCAAAAATGATGAGCTTGCGGTTGAAGCGAGGGGGCGACTGCTGGAATCGGCGCGCTTGATGCCGCCGCCGCACGCTCATCCAGATCGGTGGCGATCATGCGCAAAGGTCGAAACCTCCACGTCTCCGCGGACGAGTCACGCGGGTGCCATGTCGCCATCTGCTCGAATTTATAGCGGCCTCCGCACCCGACATGGAAATGACTCTCTTGTTTGTGATTTGATATTGCACTTGCGTTTACTGGCAGTGGCGTCACTAATTTACTGACGAAAGAACGACTCATTTTGATCCACTGAAAGCGTTGCAAGCAAACTACTTGGGAAGATTCGGGTGTAAAGGTCACCTCGTCGTTATCTCCGCAAACCATTACGGCACACAACGCCTCCGCACGCGACGGCGGTGACTCGTGAATCGTTTCAAATGCACCGAGCCTCTGCCGGGAGTGCTGCAGCATTTGCGTGCGTGTTCATGTGTCATCGGGGCACACCCTCCATTCAGCGTCACTCATCCGTCTCGCTACCTGTTGACTCATGTCCAGCTTGGCCCTTCCCGAGTACTGTACATCCTCCTGAAGTCGATCGCGCGGAACATTCCGTAATACACATCCCAAAAGGGAGCCCTGGATCGTCATGACGATCAAACAGGTTTGATTAGACCTGGTTGGAACTCGTGAGAAACATGCCTGGCTGGGATCTTGGTGCAGCCGCAAACTTTTCTCTCTTGATGATGAAAGACCTGATTCATATATCAGTGCATGTCACTGCAGATGATGGCAATGAATGCGTGTCACAGATTTGCATTTTAACGAGTCCCAAAAAAAAGCACCAATAAAAATAAAGCGGCAGCAGGTCCTCAGATGACAACGGGCATCTGTTCATACCACATCGTAGTCCACAGTCTATTGCTAACCTACACTAATATAGCTGTAAATTAATTTCAGGAACTGTCTGTATGGCAAACAAACAAAGAGAGAAACAATGTGGTCAACAAGCGCAATTCTTCGGTCGTCCAAATTGTTACCGTAGGCCAAATTTATACCATCTGCCACGTAAATCATGGAAGCCGCAGAACCGTCCTTCTCTGTATTTACTGGTTACATTCATATATCTTCGCAGCCCGTGCCAAAAATTCCTGGACCTCACTTTTTTTTTTTTCCAGCTCTGATAAAAAGAAGGAAAAAAAAATCCCACTAACTTTCTTTTCGCTCCTAGATGGATGAATCTGCAACTGCCTTTGGGCATAAAAGGCATGATTGAGTGCGTTATGGTTTTTACATGTTCGTAGTCACAGTGGTTAATTCAATGTTGTGCTTGCGTGAGAGTTGAAAAAGTTTTACAAATGGGAGGAGGAGCATTTTGCTTCCAAATCCAAAACAACAACCCCAAGGTTTGCGTGTACAAGTTGCCAGTCGGAGAACTTTTGGCCATTCGACTTGTACGCAGACGCAGACACACACGCACACACACACACACACACACACACACACACACACACACACACACACACACACACACACACACACACACACACACACAAGGTTTCAATTTCAGTCAGCAGGCCGGGGAGGGAGGAGGAGGAGGAGGAGGTGGCTGAGAAGGTCTGCTGTTGTCGGGAGCGACATTTTCCTTTCAAGTAAGCAGCTAACAAGCAGAAAAGCACTCATTGAATCCCTGCGAAGCGTTCGAACGAGCAGGGCGAAGCGGCGCACAGACGGCGGGAGGAAAAGCGCATGGATGGACGGCGGTGCGCAGAGTGTCGCCGCTGGCGTGGCTGATCGGTAACGCGGCTGGGCTCCTCGTCCGAAGCGCAGCGATGGTGCCAACGAGAATAAATATACCACAAGAGTAAAGTTGAAATGATACCGCGGTCCACCCTGGACTGGTCGCCAGCCAATCGCAGGGCACATCTTGGGGAAACGTCCCGCTCACACACAGTCACACCGAGATTTCGAGTCGCCAATGTCGTGCATCCCCTGCCAAATCATCAACAGATTTTGCCTCTCATGAAACTTGCGGTACTTGGTGATTGGGAATGCACAACACCACATCTCAAATTTGAGGTCAGTCGGAGCAGAGGGTTTGGGTGAGAGCTACGGCCCACCCGGTTTTAATGAGTTGGACAAAAAGGGGGCGTGGCCACCTAAAATTTGAGATGAAAAGTTGTGTCACCACGATGAACAAGCACAGCAAGTTTCACAAAGAGCAAAATTCGCTTTGTTCAACGCTTCAGATTCTGGGGTTGACTTGGCGTGGGATGACCGACTCCCCCCCCCCCCCCGAGCATACTGTCGGAATGCGGCAGGAAAGCCGCAGGACACGGATTCACATCACGCGAGTTGTTCCTTTGTCAACACAATGTGTGTGCGTGTTTGCCCAATTAGCATAATGAGCCCAACGCGCTGGGGCGCGTTGATGCCAGACTGATTGAGAGTGATCGGGTCACGTTGCCCCCCCCACCGATGAGAGAGATTTACCCCGGCAGAAAGGCCGATTAATTCCACATGACCGCCAGCGCGTGCCAACGAGGCAGAAGGCGAGCGCGACTGCCCTGCTTGGGAACAGGCCACGGCCGCCAAACGATGCCAATCCCAATCGCGCGCGAGCGTGGGCGCGCACACACAAACACAAGTGGACTGGACTCACTTTCATTCACTCTGTCTCTCTCACACACACACACACACACACACACACACACACACACACACACACACACAACACACACACACACACGCACACCATCAGACACACCCTCGCACTCAAAGAACACATTCTCTCATGAAACACACACACTGTCCTGCACAGACAGTCACCCTCTCTCACACACACACCACATTACGCAAGATGGCTCTCACATTCACATGCTCCCTCAGACACTCACTGGCTCTCACACAAACACCCACTCGAACACGTGCACACTTTCGCTCAAGAAAACACACGCGCAGACTCATCTCACACATACGCAAGCTCACTCACCGCTTCTCAAAAGATACACACAGTCACTGGCTCTCGCACGCATTCTCAGGAGCGTCCTCTCACATGGCGCCACGCCCTCATTTACACACTTGATCATTCAGAAACAAACAACAGACGCTCTCGCGCCAGGGTTTGAAGAAACACACTGAATTCACACGCAAACATTCTCACACTCACGTGCACACCCTGGCTCGTGGACATTCTCAAACTCACTCTCCCACAAACCCTGTCACATACACATATACTCTCATTGACGTGTCACACACTGCCACACTCTCACACGCTGATACACTCGCAGGCAGACTCTCGCATGCATGGGCAGAGTCAGAAATGTTTAATGGGGCGGCCAGGGTGACAAAACGCCTTCGTGAGGGGTGGCCAAGCCATAGCCATGCGTGTGCATCACCCACTGACTTGTAACCCCAACTGTAACTGAGAAGGCCTTGTTTATCCCACCATCCACAGTCAAGGTTTACAATAAATAAACAAACAAACAAACAAACAAACAAACCTATCCAGAACCTTGCCCAGCACACTACAAGCTTTTGCTCCATGTGGAGGTGGCCAGAGAGTGACACAGTCTGGTTTACGCGCGCACACACACACACACACACACACACACACACACACACAAACACACACACACACACACACACACACACGCACGCACGCACCTCTTCCCGGTTATGTTCGAGTCCACATGAGTCACGTCTCGTTCTACAAGTTCTATCAGGTGAGCAGCAAATTGTTTGACATCGGGGTGAAACCCGAAGCTCCTAATTTTCTCTCCTTTGTCCGCCAGGCTGTCAGATATCAAATGAGAAATTTAGCAAATAATCGCCAGGTCGCTGGGCGAGTCATTCATGGTGCCGCCGTGTTACGCAAACCTTGGCGGATTTCTCAAGCCAAGAAACTTTATCGTGTCATTATCGTGTCACAATCGAGACAGTAAAAGCCTCAATGGAGACGTCACGTGCCACATTCCGCCTTCGTCTTTCGTTTCAGACCTTGGCCCGCCTATGCCGTTATTCACTTGATTTTGGATGATGGAAGTCTTCATTTCTTTTTTAGGAGGAAAGTAGTATTTTCTTGGTAAAAGTAAATGGAATAATTTCTCATAGCACTTAAGTCACGTGAATAAGGGAAAACTGTTTTTAATATATAGTTGGACAGTACACCTCAACTGAGGCTGGTAAGGAATAGATGGAAGCTTAAATTATGAAAAACTGTTCACTTGATGCCAAACTGCTGTTTGGAACTTATCAAGTCGCTTGAGTTCACGGCCTGCAAGTTCACACTCGCAAGTCAAAGAAAAAAAAATCGGTTCAACGACGGCTCGTATCTCAGGGCGCCAATGTCCATCCATCCATGCATCCTCCGAACCCGCTTATATGAAAAAAAAAAAAACCAATAAAAAAACATACCTATGTATCACTGAGTCCGAAACGTATTAAAAATGCTAAAAGTAAAGTTCCGGTCCTTATTTTCACGCGTTGTCAATCAGCGATTCCTTTGACGTTGACATTTTTGCATGATTCGCTTTGCTTCTACGTAAACAGAAGGCCAAACAATGTGCGTGGACGAAGCGGAAAATCCTCAACAATGAATGAAGCTCGTCTCCCTTGAAGCTGCTATTTTTTTTAATCTGCCAAAACCTCATTTAAATGTGATTTAAACATTATTACCTTCATGTCGTTCATGATGAGCTGGAAGAGACCTCCCAAGGCGCTGCATTCCTTCTCTATGCCCGCATCCATTTTCCACACAGGCAAAAAAAAAAAAATCCTCCGGGACAACTTGGTCTTCTTTGAAATAAAAACGAATAAAATTACATATAAAAAAATGAAGTTTTAGAATACTCCCAATGGTAGGATAAATGGAGGCCTTTGGAGGAGGTTAACGTTACAGCACTCGTAGGGCAAAAGTCCAGTCTGTGTATGTCAAATCAACAGCCCCAAAAATGTGCAGTACAAGAAAAACGGACACAAAAATAGAGAAGGGAGGCTCTCAGCCGATGCTAGCCGCCGGCCATGCGGATAAACGTCCCGAAGAAGAGCACATTTTTTCCTGACTGAAACGAGCGAGCTTGACCGGGATATGATGAAAAGTTGGCCGCTGACTGCGAGCTAACCGCGGCTAGGTGGCTAACTCCGCTAGCAACCTGAAACTACGAGCGTGGACATAGGGCGCTACTTCACCACTTCGCCTCTCGGTCGCTCTTCCGTCCTTCTGCTTCTTTTTAAGTGCTATTATTTTTTTTTCTAAAAACGAAAATCACGCGTCATCGTTTCCCGGCGAAGCGTCGATGTTGCCTTGTGACGAGCTTCAGACGCCGCACTATCTGCAACCGACGGGGAGTCCTCGCTCCGACCTCGTTACTTCAAGTGAGAATGTTCGTCGCGCATATGTAACGTGTGTGGTTTTCTCGGAGTCACCAAGGTAGTCGTAGCCAGCAACTTCTACATCCTGTTTAAAATTTCAAAATAAAATCTCAATTCCATCACCGCACTTGGGCCTAGAATGAGACAGGCAGAGTGCAGGGATGCAAGTTATAATTACCTCCCATGCGCACTACTGAGACACTCTCACACAAAAACTACTAGAACACTTTCATGTACGCTGCAGAAATGATTTCAAACCTCATGCTGAAATACGCTCATATGATACACATATTTCAGGAGGCTGTGAGAGAGTTTTAGTTGTCATTTTGAACAACAAATATCGACAAGAGTGAGAATGTTTGTGTTGGTGATTGTTTCAGTAGTGTATGAGAAAAAAATAGTAGCATTGACAGAATTTTAGTGGTTCATATGGGAACGTTTCGGCTGTGTGAATGAGATGTTGCAGTCGAGTGTGTGAGAGTTTATTCTGGGTGTGAGAGCATTTCAGTAGAGGATATGAGCTGCTGAAAATCTGTAGTGTGTATGAGAACTTTTCAGCAGTATCCTTGTGTAACTGTTTCAGTAGTGTGTGAGTAAAAAAATATCAGTGTGTGTGTGTGAGACCATTTTAATTCTGTGTATGGAGTGTTTTAATTTTGTGAATGAGTTTTTTTTTCTGCCCCGAGCATGAGTTTTCTATATGAGTGGAAAGCATTCTGTTTTGTGTGTGAGAGTATGCCAGGTGATTTGAGAGCTCTCATTTACTACACATTTACTACACGTGCACGACTGAAACACACACACACACACACACACACACACACACACACACACACACGCGCGCGCGCGCAGGCACACGTTTTATTTTGAAGTCTGAGTCGTTATGTAGTCATGACTGCGTCCTGATGGCTTGACGTTGCGTATCCCGGTGGAGGGAGGTGTTTGTTGTGGAGAGAAGTCGTGGGGGTGTCCAGGAGGGGCGGAAAAACGAGTGACTAAACAGTCAGTCAACTTATTAGTCAGCCATAATTTTTAATTTTAGTAAGTCAAAACTAACAGAGTACTGTTAGACAGAACAAAATAGAATAGAATAGAATAGGAAGACTTTATTGCCATTGTACATTGTGTGCGTGTGTGTGTGTGTGTGTGTGTGTGTGTGTGTGTGTGTGTGTGTGTGTGTGTGTGTGTGTTTGGCTGAGTCATCCCCTGGCAACAAGCGTGTCACTACCCAATGTCGCCATAGCAACCATCTTGGATGTGCTGAATCATTGGGGCCAGCCAAATCCCAGTCTGGTTTCCATGGAAACGGGAATAATGGAATGTTTTGGTTTTTCTTGTGTAGATTGGATCCCTCTTTCTTTATGCACTCATTTGACACATTTATCTTATGTGTTCTGTTGGATTATTGTTATTTTCTGTTAAATGTTCTGTAAAACAGTTCTGTTACAACTGCAACGAATTGTGAAAGCACGAAATGAATAAAGATGCATTGTAATGTATTGTATTGCACATGCAATACATTAGATACCAAGGTTCCCTCGGTTCGTTGGTATTGAACGTTAAAGTTCAATACGTTTGCATTGAATCTTTAACCGGTGCTTGTTTTGAAAACATTTATTGAGTTTCAGGTTAGTGGAACTCTAATGTGTAATACATTTTAATCAAATTGTTAGTTTGTAGACTTTTTTACTTTTCCAATATTTTAACGCCGTGTGAGAGTAAGACATTCTTGGGTAGTACCTTCTGAAAAGTTGAAGAATGACAGCATGACTTGTTCTATCTCGTGCAACAGTGACATCTGGTGGCGTGAGATAACACTACTTAATTAAAATCAATTGCTTGCTCTTGTTTTTCCACTTGGAAAATGTGTTTATTTTTAGAAATATTTTATTTTACCATTTAAAACCAATCAATTAGCAATTTACTAAATTAGATAATTGGCTTAAAAAATATTCAGTGTCATGCAGTCATGTAGACACAAACAAGAGTTTCACAACAACTGAAGCGTTTTTTTTGTTGTTGTTGTTGTTAAGAATTCGTCAATCTGCAAAATAATCACAAACAATCGCCCGAACAATGAATGGTATCTTCCAAAACCTGTAAGTTGGGTTTAACTAAACTGACAGGGAATAGGTAGGTTTGCACAGAAGTGCCTTTAATATACACAATTTGATTGGATACAAACATATTCATACGGAGTACAAACATCATCTTGTGCATATTGAAGTAGACAACAATCTAAATTTAATCATTTCGTTATTGATTGCATGAGATTGGAAGGCACCACTGGCTTGTCTAAAACGAGCCAATTCAGTGTCCGAGTTCGCAAAACTAAACATACAAGTTGACTAAAGTTAAACACAAACATCATTGAGACGGGATGATCGGCTCATTTCAAATAAAGTACAAGCATAAATGTGTTTTGCTTTTGCATGTTTGGCCAATAAATCAAATATTGTTGTCACATAGTGGAACGGCCCCAAAAAAGTGGTCCAATTTGGAGTGCAAACAACAGGAAATTTTGTCATATCGTACAAAACGTTGGAAAGGATTAAATACACAAGTTAAAAATTTGCTTTGGCGTCTTTTTTTTTTAATGACGTATTACAGCAAATACTATTAAAATTGGACCTAAAATGTCACCAGCACATAAAAACAATTGTCTTTATATTATTTCAAATGGTAAAAAAAAGTTTTGAAATGAGAACAACTTGGATTAGTTTGCTTTTAAAAAGTGAAATAAATTAGCCTTTTTGTTGGTTGAATTTTTAGGTCAAGTAAGGTAACTTCAAACTGTTCTACTGTCCTTTTGTCCCCTGGTGTTGCCAATGATTAACTTTTAAGTAAATCATCAATGGGAAAACTTTTCTTGCAGGGACATGGAGTTGTGAGGGGTGGGGAATAAAGTTATCAAGCGAGGTCCGAGGTCAGTGAGCAACCAAAACGAAGGATCCAGTGTTTGCATTTTTCGACCCAAGGTCTATTTTGTCTGCATACAAAGTTGTGGTGTCATTTTGGAAGCTGGTGAAGACCACGCGGTGTTTCCATATTTTACACATGAACGAACTTCAAGTTTAAACAAATGTTTAAAAAAAAAATATGCATCACCCGAAGCAGGGCACTCAGTCAAAAACATACATTGTACATTTAAACTTGATTTAGAAACTTTTAGTTTTTTTTAAATATCACAAAAAGCAATATAAAAAAAATTACAAATATAGCATTTTTACATTAAAATTCCAATGTTATTATAAACTCTGCGTACTCATTCCAAATGTGGGGCATCCATTTTACGTTGAAGTGTCCTCACTCATGAGCATATCTCTGGGCCAGAAATAGGGATACGCTTCAATTATTTTTTTTTTTTACACAAAGCAAGTGGAGGAAGTCAGAAAGATATTTTTTAAGCAAAGGAAGTATGGCTGTGAAATAAAAGTAGGCCCGAGAGAAGGAAGACAAACAGGAAGAAAAGGAATTTTAAAAAGCACGGAAGAAATGAGAATGCGGGAAGGCAGGCTATAAGTATGTTTATGGGAAGGAAGGAAGGAAGGAAAAAATGCCAGGGGAAAATAGGCAGAAAAGAGGTCAGGAATAGAGGCAGAAAAGGAAATCAGTACATTTCAAGGAAGGAAGGAGGAAAGCAGGCCAGAATTTAAAAAAAAAAAAAAAAAGGTCAGCAAAAACCCGTAACTGTTGATTTTTGTTGAGTGTATCCCAACGCCGTATATTTTCTGTTTGACAAAGTACGCCAATGATGCCATGAATACAGTTAGTGCCGTGTGAACAGTGTTAGCGTCACATGAAGATGACCAAAACTGTCATCACAGTGTACTGAATCATGACTTTGGTCATGGAATGAACAATAGATATCTAGACACTTACTTACTATCGTAAGAATGATCACATAAACGGATATTAAAAAAAAAGAAGGAACCCCAAGTTTTGGCTTGACTGACCTATTTTTGTTGTTTTGGTCATGTGACCATGATGTAGCAGCGTGATGCCCATCTAAGGTTAGGATGAGGTTCTTAAAGTGGAAGACACACGCCACCTGGCAACTTTAGCTGCGCATTTAAAAAAAAAAAAAACAGCCCTCACCTATTTTGCTGTTTCTGTGCTTTGCCGTCATTTTCATATGTGAGTTGAGGAGCTTCATTTGGACAAGAGCTGTCCTTTGCTGCCATCTGGTAGCAACCAGACAATTTTAAAAAATGATATGACATCTGAATACGGACGGTGTGGAAGAAGGAACCATGCCGCAAACAGCAAAAATTTGCCATTAAGTGATGCGCCCAAACGAGTTCATGAACTCCCGCAGATGCCACACAATAGCAGCTAAGCGTTGCTCTTCTGTTTGATTCGGCTCTGGCCTCACTTCAACCTAATTGTGCTCATGAGTTGACATAGCTGAGCTATTATTTAAAGGGCAAGTGAAGAGCACACTTTTCTTTCCAAGAATATGTTCTACGCTTTGCAGCCTCATTAGTCGAAGCGCGGCAATCTGATTAAGATTGTGAATGTGGAATATGATTTAAGCAGTAAAATGGCCATTTTGCCACTTGACTTCGACTGAAAATGACATCACAGTTGTTCAGGGCTCAGGTAACAACCAATCATGGCTCAGCTTCGGAAAACAGGTGAGCCGTGAAGGAACAGTAATGACAAATTTGACCATGTCATGTAAACGTCGGAGCAAAATTTAGGTCCTTGGCACTAATATGCCACAGGTGGGCACCAAAGCACTACTTTTATGTCAGACATGGATTTGACCTAAGCACAAAAACAGCAAATAACGAACGGAGGATAGGGTAGATGAATTTGAAAGTAGTGCATGGCAAATATTTTTATCACATATTAGGATATGTAGGCCCAAGCTATGGCTCGAGGACGCCCGGTAAAACCACCGCTTTGAAATGAAAGTTAAAAAAAAAACAGATTTTTTGTTTTTAAAGTCCAATTGCACAATGACGAAGGAAGGCCATTTGCACCTTCACTTCTCCAGCTGCTACAATCGTAACACCTCTGCCTGCCTGTCCACCCACTTATCAGCCAGTTGGTCCGAGGACCCCGGCGCTCCCACGCCGTCGCCCCCCCTCTGTCCCTTGGCGATATCGCTGGCTATGGCCAGGGCGCCACCCTTCAAGAACCGCACAAAGTTCTCCCCCACCAGCGGCCCCATGGCGTACATGCCGGGCCCGTCGGCCGCCACCACGCGGTTGGTGAAGGGATCCACGTCGATGGGGTTCCTGCGGCAGGTGACGGCCTCATCCGGGCGCACCCCCAGAGGGCGGCCCTGCTCGGGCAGGAAGGACAAGTTGGGGTGGGCACCGATCAGCACCAGCGCCTTGGATACTTGCACCACGCTACGCTGGCCCGAGTCCGACTGTAAGACGCATTTGCGGTCCGGCCGGAAAGAGACCACGCGGTGGCGCGGGAAGCTGAGGTAGCCGGCGTACGATGAGGAAGAGGAGGACAAGAAGCTCGGAGGCGAGGAAGACGAGTCCAGAGGAGACGCGGACTGGTGCTGCTGCTGCATCATCATTTGGTGAACCTGAAAAGAGACACGGGGAAAATGTCAAGCGTCAAAAAGTTGTGGCTGAAATAAGGCTGCAACATAATGTGGAATAACGGAAGAACTGCGAATATTTCCTCGATGCTTTCCTGAGTTATTTATATTGTAATAGATCTGCTAAAAAAAATAAAAGTGCACTTTTTCCTGTCACATAAGAAAATGTGGAAAAAGTGAATGACGCGCTGAACACAATTGGGCTCACCGTGTGTTCGTACCACATTGTACTGCACACTTGTATTTTTACAGTTCGTAATAAAACCCGCTGACCTTGTGGTACTCCGGATAGAGCATCTTGGGCAGCTGGTTGAAGATGAGCCCGGGGTCGGTGACGGCGCGGCGGAAGGCGTGGTAAACGGGCGTGTTGAGGTGGTGGGCCGCCAGCACGGCGTCGGCGGCCGTAAGTCCGGCGCCCACCACGAGCACCGGGTCGGACGACTCGTCCAGCTCGCCGCGGGAGATGGCGCCCTCCAGCTCCCAGAAGGAGTGGCACACGTAGGGCAGCGACTCGCCCTCCACGCCAAGCCGGGCGGGGATGTCGTGGGTGCCCGTCGCCAACACGACGTTGCGTGCCAGCAGGGAGAAGGGCACCTGCTCCACGGGAGAATCGTCTAGCGCAGGAAGGAAGACAATGAGCGGCGGATTTGCCAGGCTATTAGCTTACCATGCTATTACAAATGCTAATATATGCTAAATTGCTCATGACGAGGTGCCGACACGAAATACAACACTCATGCTAAATGCTAATCGCCATGTGGCTGGTAAATGTGATGGCCCGAAAGCAAAGTAGCAACTTTAGCTTAGCATATGACCACATTGATTTTGTTGAAATGATTTCAACAGGACAAAAAAAAAAAAAAAAAAAAAAAAAAAAAAAAAAAAAAAAAAACAACCCAACCGACAGTTTTGACGAACGTAGCTGACAATCGTCGCCCGATAATTGTCCCTACCTCCAAGATCCTCGCCCTCTCGGCACTGCAGTCCCTTGATCCTCCAGCAGCCGCGGGCGTCGCGGTTATCTGCGGGCTCCCTGGTGACCGAGGTGACGGTGGTCCCGCAGGCAAAGTTGTCCTCCAGGGACATTTGGGACACGTAGTGCTGGTAGTAGGAGGCGATCTCGGCCGGCGTGGCGCGGTCGTTGCGCACGTTTCTGGCGTTGGAAACAAACACTTGGACTTAAAAGGCCTTCTTCCACTTTATAGATTGGATTCTTGTTTCGGTTGTGTTGGTTCTGGTTGTCTCCCTGATCCTGGTTTTGGTTCTACATCTGGTATTAGCTGTTGCTGATGATATCGGTTCTGCTTTTGATTCTGGTTCTGTTTGATGTCCTTATTCTGGTTCCGATTTTTATTTCTTCATCTGTCTCGGGTTGTGTTGTATCAGTTTGATTCTGGCGGTGTTCTGAATTAGTTTTCTGATCCTATTCATCCCGTTTCGGTTCAGCTCAAGATGTTCGCTGTGGTTTTGCTTCTGGAAATAAGTCTAGTTTCGGTCAAGGCCCTGACAGGACTCTGGTTGCGTTCTGATTTTGACTCGGATTTTGGTTCTGTTTGGTGTAAGTTGTAGTTCTACTTCTAATTCAGATCCTGGTTTTAGTTGTAGCTTCTGGTTTTGATTTTGGTTAATGTTCTTGTTGTGGTTCCGATTTTGTGAGTTTTGGGGGGTTCGTGCTCATAGACTTCTAAAATTTCCACCCGGATAGATATGTGCACAAAAATATATTTTTTTGCATATCAAGGACTCCTAAAAAAAAAAAAAAAAACACCGCCAATCCACCGATCCTGGTGCTGAGACCCAAGAGAGTCATTGTCAGAACGTACTTTACCTTCTCTTGTCTTTCATCCATTCCTTCAGTTTAAGTCCGGGCAGCTCCATCCAGTTAGCAAGGCTTAGCGTTAGCATGGAGCCCTCCATGGCCTGAAGGCACACAAATGAGGATCAACCGTCTGGCAGCGCAGTCGTAACAACGGGTTAGCGGAGCATGTGTGCGCAACACCTACGTGCCAGGCTCCTCCCGGGGGGCCCTTTCCCAGCACCAAGTGCGGCACGGCTCTCTCCGGCTCGTAGCGCCACTCGAGCGGGGAGACGTGGTCCAGGCCGAAGTCGCTGTCGGGCAACAGCAGCGAGTCGAAGAGCACGGCCACCGGGTTGGACGAGCGCCCCTGCAGACCCTCGCACAGGTACTCCAAGTCCTGCTCCAGCAGGGGCAGGCCGGGCTGCTCGGCCAGTTTGCTGTGCAGCAACGGGTTGGGATGCGACGCGCCGGGCGACAGGTAGGGGGTGTAGCCCGACAGCAGGTATGACAGGCAGATCCCAGAGGGGCCGTTACCTGGGAAACGGGAAGAGCGGGCCTTTCAGGGCGCGAGATCGAGTGTCGAATGTCACACGCTCTCAATATTTGTCACACTTCTCGCAATCGACCTTTTTGTTCTTCCTCCCTGAACCCGAAACCCTTTTGCGTCGCGCCACAACGTTGGGATATGCCCTCCGTAAATTAACCATTAACGACACAAGTTTTTTCTCGGTGTTTAAACATGAAAATGAATACATGGACAATGGATTTCACATTAGAAATGCTTTAGTGATCAAAATTTCATCATCGATTCTTTTATTTTTATTTTTTGCAGTGATGCATATTCTAAGCAGCCGAAATCGAGTTTCAATCGATTTTCAGTGAATTGTGACATCCCCCCTTCCTGGAAACGTTTTAATCCTGAGCCATGAATCAGCAAGTTTGAACACATCGTACTTTGAACTTTGTGCTCGGATTGGATAGAAACCAACAATTGCATACGGATCACAACAATCAAACGTTTTAAGAAAAAAAAAATATGACTTGTATACAAGTAAACATTATATATACATAACTTCCTGGTTTGTATGGCCGTACCTCACCGCTATCATAATATTTCTGTTTCTCATCATTTTCCGGAACATTTCATGTCAAGCGGTGCCAAAGTACCAGAAGGGAATGAATGCTCTTTGGCTTGCTTTATTTGACCCCTCCAGGTATTTACCTGATGATCCCTCTTAATGATAATTTATTTCTTGAAAAAAAAAATGTTTTTTTACTTATTAAATCATTAGCCAAAAGGCCTCAAACATTTGCAGTCTTTAGTCATTGGTTTTAAGAACGACACAAGTGATTTTTGGAAAGCAGCAAGTGCGGCCCGGCTCTCTCCGGCTCGTAGCGCCACTCGAGCGGGGAGACGTGGTCCAGGCCGAAGTCGCTGTCGGGCAACAGCAGCGAGTCGAAGAGCACGGCCACCGGGTTGGACGAGCGCCCCTGCAGACCCTCGCACAGGTACTCCAAGTCCTGCTCCAGCAGGGGCAGGCCGGGCTGCTCGGCCAGTTTGCTGTGCAGCAACGGGTTGGGATGCGACGCGCCGGGCGACAGGTAGGGGGTGTAGCCCGACAGCAGGTATGACAGGCAGATCCCAGAGGGGCCGTTACCTGGGAAACGGGAAGAGCGGGCCTTTCAGGGCGCGAGATCGAGTGTCGAATGTCACACGCTCTCAATATTTGTCACACTTCTCGCAATCGACCTTTTTGTTCTTCCTCCCTGAACCCGAAACCCTTTTGCGTCGCGCCACAACGTTGGGATATGCCCTCCGTAAATTAACCATTAACGACACAAGTTTTTTCTCGGTGTTTAAACATGAAAATGAATACATGGACAATGGATTTCACATTAGAAATGCTTTAGTGATCAAAATTTCATCATCGATTCTTTTATTTTTATTTTTTGCAGTGATGCATATTCTAAGCAGCCGAAATCGAGTTTCAATCGATTTTCAGTGAATTGTGACATCCCCCCTTCCTGGAAACGTTTTAATCCTGAGCCATGAATCAGCAAGTTTGAACACATCGTACTTTGAACTTTGTGCTCGGATTGGATAGAAACCAACAATTGCATACGGATCACAACAATCCAACGTTTTAAGAAAAAAAAAAATATGACTTGTATACAAGTAAACATTATATATACATAACTTCCTGGTTTGTATGGCCGTACCTCACCGCTATCATAATATTTCTGTTTCTCATCATTTTCCGGAACATTTCATGTCAAGCGGTGCCAAAGTACCAGAAGGGAATGAATGCTCTTTGGCTTGCTTTATTTGACCCCTCCAGGTATTTACCTGATGATCCCTCTTAATGATAATTTATTTCTTGAAAAAAAAAATGTTTTTTTACTTATTAAATCATTAGCCAAAAGGCCTCAAACATTTGCAGTCTTTAGTCATTGGTTTTAAGAACGACACAAGTGATTTTTGGAACATAACAAGAAATTTACAGTTAAGATATGAATCCTTTCATTTCTTTTTTTTCCAACATAATACATTGCGCACCCTCTCCACCTCCCAAATTAAATTAACAGAAATGCATTCTAGACATAACATTGCCGGAAAATATCAACAATTCCCAATAAAAAGCCCAGAGTAAATGCTAATATTTGACTGTCATAATTTGTGTTCACATCACGTTCTAAAGCAACTGGAGATCTGTGGATTTTGTAGGGTGGCTAATATGTCATGACAAGACCTGTCCTCATTTAAAAAAAAAAATTTAAAAAAAGGGCATAGAGACATATCTCTGAAGTAAGAGGAAACTCTTTCGTCAAGGTGTCAAAAATCAAAAGTACACTGTGGCTTTCAATGTCGGCCTGATTTCTCCACTATGTCTTTCGCTCGTATGTATACATCGCGTTTGAGCATATGACATTCGGACAGACCCCGAAAGCGGCGCTGTGCACCGAATCCGCACGGCTAACGCAAAATAAGGCGTCATCAGCAGAAGAGGTCTTTCGGTCGGAAGCCGCGTGTTAGGGAAGCTCCTGTTATATGATTGACGTCGAGCGTCTTCACAATTTTGCTGTTTGCAAAGGCAGAAATGTTGACTTTGTGTCGTTTGTCGCGGTTTCGTGGCAGAATATTTGTTGGATCTGGTTATACAATGCAGGTGTCGTCTACGATCCGTCACGGCAACCCATTCGTTTGCATGCGATGCGCGCCGTAAATGCGGACACGCAAATGTGAGTGCGAGCGTGTCGTTTTCCTTTCGCTCACCTACGATCACCACCGGCAGAATCTCTCCGGATACCGTTTCCTTGTCGTGAAGCTCCATGTTGTCGACTGAGGAGAAAGAACAAAGGCATACGACTTGTAAGGACGCCTGCCTTGTTTTTTTTTTTTTTTTTTTTTGTCACATCATACCCATCACCTTTGTGATCTCGATTACAAACTCAAAAGGTGCCCGTACGCGGATGCGCACACGCGCAGACACACACCTTCCTACCCGGGGAGAGGCGAGGCGAGTGAGCTCATGACTGTTGTCATCTGCCCACATATTTAAAACATGGCAACATGACTCCCGGAAACCAGGGAGTTGTGCAAAAACGTGCGCACGCAGGCACACAGAAACACACCTCAGATTGCAAACAATGACAACTGAGGAGAGCCGACCAAAAGAGAGACACGCGTTTAGTCATTTATTCAGATTGTCGCTTTTGTTGCTCATGTGTTTCATATTTTATTTAATAGTAACTGATACCCAGCCCTATTGAATTCAACGTTTTTGCATTTTCTGCATTGCCAATTTGAAATAATGTCTCCTTTTTGAGTAAACAAAAGGAAACTAAATCTTTTTTTAAAAATTCGATTCATCGATTAATCGACAAAATGAACAGGTTAATCGGGTATTAAAATGATCATCAGTTGCTGCCCCATATGAAATAATTGGTTAATTCTAATCAATAAACTCAGAATTATCATGAGAACAAATTATTTTTTTTAAATATTTATTTATTCATTCGTTCAATCAAATTACTAGGTCAACACAGCAGCTGCGAAGCACGTTGGAAACTACATTTAACTGGCAGTGCATGCTGGGAAATGTAGGCAGAGCCAGCAATTCTGCCAAGTCATGCTGACTTGGCCAGGCAAGATCATGAAAAATGTGCACGCGCGCGCACACACACACACACACACACACACACACACACACACACACACACACACACACACACACACACACACACACACAGAAAACAAGCACACACAGTCGCAGCTCAGGTGGTAGAGTGGTCATTTCCCACCAGAAGGGTTGTGGGTTCAAGGTCCAAGTGTCCTTGAGCAAGATTGTGAACCCCTGGTCGGTCCTGATGTTGTGTTTGGGGTCAGTCGGTGAATTGAGGATTTGTTGCTGTTTAAATAGAACAAATAAAAGTCCAACCACTGCTTTGTAGAGCGAGAGAGCGAGAGAGCAAAAAAAGGGTGTGCAGTTGCGTAAGTGTCTGGCACGGAGCCAAGTTGGAGTCCTAGCAGCAGAGGGTGCTGGAAGGAGCTCCTTTTGGCCGTCATCCAACATGGAGGCCTCCTCCTCATCGGTTTATATAACAAGTCGGTTCCACCTGGACCGCGCTCAAAAAACGTAGGCCCGACCCTCGCCGTGGAAATGACCTCGGCAAGCCAAGCGGGGAAACAAAAGTCACTTTTCACAGGTTGGGAGGAGATGTGGAACATTCCACAACATGTTGGTTCCATGCCGTTTACGCTCGACGTGGCCTTTTGGACATGCGCAGAGCTTTGGCCAAGG